AAAACCAAAAAAAAAAAAAAAAAAAAAAAAAAAAAAAAAAGATTGACAAGCTCTTCACCTCTCAGTGCATACTGTGGTAATGCTAAACAATAACAAAATTAAATCAATAAAATAATATAGCCCCAACTCTCAAAATAGTCAATCCCCTAATATATTATATCCTAATTTAAGGAAGAGGTCTCATAAGCTTCCCTTAGCAAGTAAACAGGACAATACGTTTTAGTCAACCAAGAAGGATCTCCTTTAAAACAAAAAAATTCTCTTTATATTTAATAGGTCATTTTGCCACAATGATTTTCTTTTTCTCTCCAAAAGAGAAAAGATTCTTTACTTGTATTTACTCTCTGGTAATAGACTTTTGAGAATACTTAGATCTATAGAATAGTGCTCAGGCAAGAGATCAAGAGGCAAAGAAATGTCAGAAGCCAAACATGATGGTGTTTGTTTGCTTGTAATCCCAGCATTCTGGGAGGCTGAGGCAGGAGTACCACAAGTTCAAGCTCAGCCTGGGAAATTTAACCATTTATCAAAGCCATGTCTCAACATTTTTTAAAAATATTTTTTTAAAGGCCAGGGATTTAGCTCAGTGGTTCTGGTGCCTGCATCGCAGGTGCAAGGTCCTAAGTTCGATCCCCAGTACCATTTTTTTTAATGAGAAGAGGCTGGGGATGTAGCTCACTGTAAAGGCTCTAGGTTCAACCACCAATACTGCAAGTGGAAAGAAAAAAAACCGCTGGAAAGGAAAAGACTCAAGAAGTAACTATCCATTTAAAAAAGCAGCTTTGCTCTTTATTCATTCAAAATATTAAGGTCAAATAAAATTTTAAATTGTCCCAATGTAAATGAAACAATCCTCAAACTAGGTATATTCAATCAATAAAACGATCTAAATATAAATATATTTTATATCATCATATATTTGGAGTTCTGAGGGTTTTGTTTTTTGTTTCAGTTTTCTTCCCCAGAAGGACTTATCATCATGTACTGAGATTGTAAGAATATACTTTTTCTTCAATTTATAATGCAGGTACCTTAAATTTTAAAAAAAATTTTAAGAAGTTTCCCCCAAAATCATACAACTGACAGGACTCAAATAAGGTCTTCAAAGGCAGGCACTATATATCCGCATGCCTAATTGCCCACCATTTAGCAGCCTTTAGGGAATTGTGTCTTCCCCCCGTAAAGATTACACTTTCCTGAGGTACTGTCAATGCAAAGAAAGTAACATCAAAAATTCAGTGCTTCAAAAAAAAGGGGGCGGGGTGGGAATTTAGCTCAGTGATTCTGTCACCTGCCTAGCAAGCACAAGATTCAGAGTTCGATCCCCAGTACCAAAAAAAAAAAAAGAAAGAATGAAAAAAAATTACCCCACTTCAAGCCAGGTGCAGGAACAGCGCACCTGTAACCCCAGCTACTTGGGAGCTAAGGCAAGAGGATCACCTGAACCCAGGAGTTTGAAGTCAGCCTAGGCAACACAGAAAGACTTTGTCTGGAGTAGGGTGGGGAAAACTATGCCACGTCCACTAAATGTACCAAGTATGTCACCCATAGGACAGGCTTCTTTGGCAAATGGAGTATTTTGACCTAAAGAATCCTGAAAAATAGCAGAAAAAGCTCTAAAAAGAGGGCACAAATTTCATTTTGTAAAGCAAATTGACATTTATAAAGGAAATTTCCATTTATAAAGACATCCTGTACCAGGGAAGAAGATTCTGAGGGAGATAAAACATGCTTGGCTCCCTCCTTCTTGCTCCTCTAGTGCAAGAATGGGGGAAGGATCTGGCCAAGGGCTCTCTCACCCCTCTCCCCCACTTCTCTTTCCTCCCCCTCACACCCCAGAGTGGACTGCAACAATGGGTCTCAGTGTCCTTCCAGTTATATAGCAGCCATACCCCTACAGGCTGCTCCCACAGGAGTGCACTTTGCGGTCAGCTGTAGTGCTCCTTCCTGATCCAGCAGCTCCAGACACTGCCACCTCTCTGCAGAAGTGGCAGGGACACCACCCCTAACATAACCAAGATGAATGGGGGATCAGAAGCATTTATTAAGAACCTCACCCTCCTCAAACCTCAGTAGAGAAGCCACCATGGCAGCTGTCCTGGCTCCATGAGATGTCTTCACTGACTGCAGTAAGCCTCAATTTAAACAAGGTAAAACTGAATTTGGATCCCTCAACAGGTCCAAGTCAGGTTTGCCTTTAGACCAGCTTGGATCAATCAGCAGGCTTGTACATGGACCACTCACAGGACTGCTGTGGCTACAGAAACAGCAACCCTCACCCTTCTAGGGTTGGTCGAAGAGGGCTCCTTTGGTGCACTAACCCCCATCCTGCAACACAGGGCCTGTTCAGAAAAGACTCACTCTGGTGATACTGTACATCTATCTGCTTGTGACTTATTTCTTGGGTAGTGTGGACTCAGAAGGTCCTGTAAATCTCCATGTAATTAATGTCATAAGTAGTGTGGACAAAGTGATTGCTCTAAAAGAAAGAGATATAGAGCTGGAGATTTAGCTCAGTGGTGCTGTGCCTGATCACAAGCACAAGGTCCTGAGTTTGATCCCTGATACCAGAAAAAAGAAATAAATAAAATAAAATAAAGAGCTACAGATACTAAAGGCCATTAGCCCAAACAACTCCAGAGAACAGGATCTAATGAAAATCAGGGACAGAGACCAGCATCTGGCACAGTTGAATGAGAGTCCAGCACAAACTGGCATGGAACAGAGGTGGCTGGCAACAGGAGACACCTACAACCACCAGTATCTAAAACGGCACACAGCACCAACTGGTGACAATCTTTGGCATCAGAACCAATAGAAGAGCTGTGTTTTGCCTGGTTCATGATTTTTCTCTGAAGTGAGCAAAAAAACCTTCAACTGATTGGCAACATCTTAATTCATCAATGAAAAAGGAGGCCCTAATTTAAATCTACATAATAAACTTTACTGTAAACCCTTGTTTACCATACTTTTCCTGGTCAATTTCCTGGCCTAGAATCCCAAAGTACATATCCTTTGCTTAGCCTATAATGGTATTGAAGCCCAAGTGCTACAATGCCCCATTGGGTCACTCACATAGGATGCTCCCATGTGTACAGATGCAACATACAGGTCAATAATTTGTTTTTCTTTTGTTAACATATTTTTGGCCAATCTTCAGGGCTGCTGAGGGTGTAGCTAAGTAGTACTGTACTTATGTGGCATGTATGAGGCATGATGTTCAATCCTCAGGGTCCAAAAACATTTGTGTATAATGTTCAAAGTCCTAGCTGCAGAATTTAAGACAGATAAAGGAAAATAAAAGATCTTTTCCTCCCCTATTCCTTTTTCTGCCTGGCCTTCTCTCATCCCTTGGGTGTGTGTGTGTGGGGGGTGTTCAATAAAAACTAAATCTGGCCTGAAGATGTCTCTGTGTCCTGAGTTCCTATGAAATAAAGCAAAAACTAACCTAATACATAAACAAACTAATACATAGTTTAATACATGCATACAGGAGAAGCATTTGCTAGTTCTGTGCCCCTGAAAATGCTAACAATAGATGTCACATACCAATATATGTTGAAGCAAGAGGAACACTATGACTTCAAAGCCATCCTGGGACTACACAGTGAGTTAATGGCCTGCTTGGACTATATAGAGACCCTGCCTTGAAAAAGTTGAAAGAAGGGCCAGAGATTTAGCTCAGTGTGGTTTTGCTGCCTGTCTTGAAAGCGCAAGAGTCCAAGTTCGATCCCCAGTATCCCCAAAATAGTGGAAAGATACTACCTACTTATGGATAGCCAGAACCAATACAGTCAAAATGGCCGTACTTTCAAAATGATATTAACATTTAACACGATCTCAATCAAAGTACCAACAGCACTCAATAATGCAATCCTAAAATTCATACAAAAGCAGAAGAGACCCAGAATAGCCAAAGGTAGCAAGAGCAAAGCAGGAGGCATCACAATCCCAGACTTAAAAATATATTACAAGCTATTATAATAAAAACAGCATGATACTGAAATAAAACATACATGAGAGTCAATGGAACAGAATAAAGGATACAGGAATAACACCAAGCACCCTCAACTATTTGATCTTTCACAAAGAGGCCAAAAGCATACACTGGAGGAAAGATAGCCTCTTCAATAAATTGTGCTGGGAAAACTGAACATCCACATGCAGAAGATTGAATCTAGACCCATATCTCTCACCATGTACTAAACTAAAACCAAAACAGAGCAAAGAACTAAATGGTAAAACAGAAACACTTAAGTTGCTGGAAGATAAAATAAGTAAAATTCTTAAAGTTATAAGTGTAGAGAATGACATTCTGAACAGAACCCCAATGGCACAAGATATAATACTGAGAATCAACAAATGGGATCATATCAAGTTTTAAAACTTCTGCCCAGCAAAATTACCAACAGAGTGAAAAGACAACCCACAGTGAGGAAAAAAATTTTGCCAGCTATTCTTCATACAGAAGATTCATACCTAAAGAACTCAAAAATATTTGATCCCCCTAAAGTAAAGACCCAATCAAAAAACAGGAAAGTGAAATGAAAAGATACTTCACAGTAGAAGTACAAATGGCCAATAAATACTCAACATCACTGGCCATTAGGAAAATATAAATTAAGCCGGGGATTTAGCTCAGCAGTTTGGTGGCCTGCCTCGCAAGCACAAGGACCCGAGTTCAATCCTCAGTACCAAAAAAAAAACAAAACAACAAAAAAAAACAGAAAAATATAAATTGAAACAATACTGAGACATTATCTTACCACAGAAAGAATGGTCATCATCAAAGAACTCAAATAATAATAAATGCTAGTGATGTTATAGGGAAAAAGAATCTTTCTATAATGTTGATGGAAATGTAAACTCTTATAACCATCATCTCCTCAAAAGATGAGAACCAGAAGTTACATCTGACCCAGCTATTTCCCTTCTAGGTATGTTGCTAAAAGACTCAAAGACATATGTTATAGGGATACATGTATACCCATGTTTACAGCAGCATAATTTGTAATAGCTAAATCTTGGAAGCAGCCTGTGTCCATTAACAGATAAGTGGATAAAGAAAACGTGATATTTATACAAAACAGAGTGCTACTCTTCCATAAACAAAGATAAACCTGAATCACCTGTAGAAAATGGATCAGCAGCATTTAGTATTTGATAAGTTATGCTTATGATCAGAAACAGAGGGTTGGGGATTTGGCTCAGTGGTTCCGTTGCCTGCCTTGTGAGCACAAAGGTCCAAGTTTAAACCCCGGTATCACCAAAACAAAACACAACAAAACAAAAGATCTAGATGCGTGAATAAAGTGACCTATACAGTACCTTCTTCATTTATTCTGAAATATAAACATGTGCTCTTCTGCTAGGAGGAGCAGCATCTTTTGCCATGAAACCAGCAAGAGTGCACTCCATCAGCCTCAGATATAAATAAAGTGGCAAAGAAAGCAACCATGGTAATGAGGAGGGGATGGAAAGAGCACACATGAGGTAGAGAGGATACAAAGCCACTGCCCACTATCTCAGCACCACCTAGAAATATGTCACCCATCCATTCAATGAGCATGTTCCGGATGTTACACTACACCATATGCTGGCCACCAGGGCTGCAGCTCTTCGCCCCAAAGAGATTGCCTGTGAATATTCAGCTTAGTGATGGCACATACAAATTACCACTCAAAGAGAAGTTACAAAGAAGGCCAAAAATCAAGAGAATAAGACAAACAAATTCAAATCCTAGAAACTAACACTTACAGAAAATCCCAAAAGAAAGCATAAAGAATTTTGTACATGGAGTAGCCCTGCAGAAACTTCGCTTTATCATAGCCATACTAACAGTCCCCAGAACTGACATCCATATGAGGCACAAGATTAGGGCCTTGGCAGGATGCCTGAACACATGGTACAAGATATAACCTGAACCAGAACAGAGACTGATCAATAAGATGTGACCTGTCAACCACAGCCAGTGAACCAGATCTGGAAAGATGTAAGACAGTGGCCACTGACTTCTCAGCCATTGAGTCATCTTGTCCTGCTCTCCTATTTCTGCAGTGGCCCATTCTGCTCGTGGGATATATCTCTTCTCATGCTTCTCTCCACTCTTTCCTTTCTTCTCTTCTCTTCACTTCTTCCTCTTTCTTTCTTTACTTTAAATAAAACTTGTGTTTACCTGTTTAGTGGTTGTCCAGGCCAATTCACTGGGTGGGATAAAAAGAGCCTGGAATAACTAGACACATTGACATACAGCAACACACTAAAAGAATGCATTTGAACTAAAACATATCTAACAACTGAAATTAAAAAGCTAAAGTTACCCTTTATTTTCAGTAAGTAAATGCTGAACTCAAATGCTGCCCCACAGAAGCATATCAGAGAATGAAACCTGCTTAAGCCTCATAACCTAGGTAAGGAAGACAATCCAAAGCCAAAATATTGGAACCATAAAGAGAAAACACCTGACATTTACCATGAAAATGCATCTCAGCCACTGTGACTCAACATCTAATGAATTTTGCTATTACTACTGAACATTTCTCAAGACTTAAGGATCCTATGTCCACAGAAGAGGCGTCTACTAGTCCTAGGCAATCCTGGACACAATTCCAGATAGCAAGGGAACAGAAGGAATCACCTGCTAGAAATAAAAGTACACAAAGAAACAGGAAACAAGAAAATACAATACTTTAAATATCTGAAAAAATAATGAATGATGGGAAAATGCTAACAAAGACAAGAAAACCGAGCAATGACTGTTTTGTCTTCTTTAACAAGTCAAGTCTAGGGAATATCCACCTTATATTAAGAAGCCCAGTTTGTAATATAAATTCCACATTAAGAAGGAATATGGTTCTTACCTGAGACAAAGTAGACACAAAGTTTTCTAGAATGCAACACAGCCAAATGAAGCATTTCCGTTCCTCTGAAAAATAGAAAAGGTTTTTAAAGATCTTAAATGTTAGTTTCAGATATAACCAAAAAAGCTATAAAATAATTTCACAACTACAACCACTATAAGTAAACAAAATTTACTGATGGAATCACAATCTGATGGCACTGGCGAGAAGTGAGGAGAACTCAGAAGGAGGCCTGGCTGAGAGGCGCACATCCTGTAGTACCACCTTGAGAACTACATCTGGTCCCTGGCCCCTTCCTCTCTGGCTTCTTACCATCTCCACTTCCTGGCTGCCACGTATATGAGAAGTTTCCTCCACCATAATTCTGCCTCACCACAGGCCGAAAGTAACAGGACTGCTGACGATGGACTGAAAACTCTGCAACCATGAGCCACAATAAACCTCCTCATTTAAGTTATATTTGGGTATTCTGTCACCATGTGAGAACACTGACTCACACTAGTCATCATCTGCTACTAGAAGGAATAGAAATAACCAGCCTTATACATCATACAACTCCCCAGTCCAGCCTGCCCCCACATATAAAAGTATTACCTCATGCCCTGGCTAAGGATCCACACTGTAAGTTCCCAAGCAATATAAAGCTGTCACTAGAGAGCAGAGAATGTGCTGGAGGACTTGGATGCTTTCCAAGCAGAAGTCAGACCCCTGAACAAATGGTACTTGGGGCCAATCAATTATGATGAGCAAAGAGAGTGAGCCAAATTCAGAATTCAGGGCTCTAAATGGATTTAGGAAGGCACAGAGCGCTCAAAAAAAGAGGTAAAGAAATCAACTGTGACTACCTGATAACTTTTCACAATACTTTTAAAAGATCAAGAAATACAGGCTCAATTTCAAGACAATGTATGAAAATAGAATAAATCAGCAATATCATCAGGAAATAAAATGCAGAAATATTACACAGTTTAGATTAATAATTTTCTAAAATAAATGAGGTTTAAAAGTAAAGTACTTTGAAATAAATTTCTTATATGGAGAGGATTTATTTAGTGAGTTAAACCGACTTCTTCCTTCAAGACAAGACTCCATATAAGTAAACTTTAAAGTTATAAGCCAAAAAGTAACAATTATCTGGCATTATGGCTAGTCATTTAAATAGACACATGAATTGGACAATTTGCTCTTTAAATAAGTAAATGCATTCTACTTCTTTATTTGGTTACTTTTAGAAATTATCAATTTTCCTTTCAGACTCTATAATGTTAGGTATCTTGGGTTTGTTACTATAAAAAGGCTCTAAATTATTCTATCATAAATATGGAGGTTTCCACATAGAAAAACACTCAGTACATGAGGAACACCTGCATGATAATCTTCAGAATACAGGTAATTCCTCTTTGAAGAATCCATAGAAATGACACAGTAAGGGACTGACACTCTGCACATGCAATACCAGGATTAGTGGACTGTACTTACGAAACAAACTTTCCTACTTCCACTTGAAGAATTGGATCTCGTAGATGCACTTCTAAGAGCAGATCTTCAGCCTGAGCTGCATCAACAGCTTTTACAGGACGGGGGTTGAAGATTCTAAGGTATCCCATAAAACTGCCCACAATTATTTTGTCTGTAGAGAGATTTTGATAAAAAAAAAAAAGGTATAAGAAAGAAACATCCTATCTTAGGGAAGAAACCCTCCAATGTATAAAAGAAATCTAAATAGTAAAAGATGCTTCATATACAGAGGCCACTACTCTGCGAACTGAAGATGTAATTAAAGTGAACAAGTTTGAAGAACATATGCTTTTAAAAAGCAGCTTTAGGGCCAGGGATTTGGCTCAGTGGTTCGGTTGCCTGCCTTGCAAGCACAAGGACCCAGGTTCAATCCCCGGTACCAAAAAAAAGAAAAGCAGCTTTAGAGCTGGGGGTGCCTCGAAGGCAGGAAACCCTATGTTCAATCCCAACCACCAGAAGGGCAAAAAGCTTTACACTGCCAATATTCAAGTGTATTCAAGCCTTGATTTGGCATTAGAGTCAAAATTTATCTCAGTCAAAACAAAATATTTTATCAAAGCACAAGTATAAGATTGTAAACTGATTTCAACATAAATTATCACCTGTACAACTAATTGTGACCATCAAAAACACTACTAGAAAGGATTCTGGGGCCTCACTACAATGCCCTGGTTAACAATGCCTAGTCTTGCCATTGTGGGGAATATCATAGGTGTTACAGGTTAAACTGTGTCTGCCCAAATAATATGGTGATGCTTTAAGAGTATAAATATGAAATTTTAAAATATAGTAAGTTGCTTTAAAACAATGTGTAGTCATAAAAGTTGGAGTTATTTTAACTTTGAATATGTACCAAGTCTCTTAAATCTTGAATTCTCATAGACTTTTTGTGTATCTAACCCTAAGCCAGTAGAATTATGAGAAGATACATTTCTAGTATTTTAAGCCACCAATCTGGATACTTTGTTACAATATTCCTAGAAACTCTACACATTTATTAGGCAATGATCTAAGTACTAACTCCTGAAGTCTTCACAATAACCCTATAGAGAGGTCCTCTCACAGCAATCTCAAACCCAAATGCAGTTATACAAATGGCAAGGACTGTGGGGCTGGATGATCTCATGGCAGCACTCCAGAGGCCCATGAGGTTTCTGAAGCCCTTTGTTCATAACTGCACCCACCAACTAAGGTGGGGCCAGTCCAACTCGGCAGGCATTTGAGGATGCTGCCTCACTCTCATTCCAATCTCCTTTTTAAGTAAATGGATCATTTATCTCTGTCATTAGGTGCAAAAAAATGGGTTGAAGGAATAACTGATGTAGAAATGAGCACCAGAGAATAAACTGCAAGTATCAAGACCTGCAAGGGGATTTGGAATGGCTCCCTGAGCTAAGCTGGGGTACTAAGCTTGTCAGTATTCTAGGTATGTACTGGGCACATATTGTGTATAGTACCAGATAACTCAAGTTACCCAGAGCCTGCTCGCTGCAAGGAAACTCCAGGGGACCAGACAGCTGTATCCACAGGCTATTCGATAGGGAGAAATGCCAAACCCTATGCAAGATGTTGTTTTCTAAAGGTACCAGATAAAATAAAATAAGTGAAGAATAAATCTGAACCTCAAATCTTCATTTTAAGGCAAAGAATAAGTTAGCGACTCAGGAAATGATGGAAGAATTTCTTACCACTTATAACAGGGGACTTAAGAACTAATAATCTATTCAGAGATGCATTCTTTGGGTTTTAGACCACAGCAACATGTAACTTAACAAATCTCTTCAGGTTTTTAAGTAAAAGTAATGATACCGATCAGAAAGAATGATTACACTATTATAATGGAGTTACTCAGAGAATCTAGAAAGCAGCTACATGCTGGCATGCATCTGTAATACCAGCACTCAGGAGACTGGGGCAGGAGGATCACAAATTCAAAGTTAGCCTAGACTCCATAGAGGGTTTAAGCTCAGCCTGAACTACAGAGTAAGACCCTGTCTCAATTTACCAAAAAAGCCGTGGAAACTGGAAGAACTAAGCTGCCAAATTTTTCTAAAATGTACCCACTGAGTTTCCCTGTATCCTGTCATTCCCTAAACCCCATTGTAACTCAATAAATCACCAAGATTTGACTTCAGTACAGCCCTACTTTCAGAAATAAAAGGAAGTCAAGACAGCCAAGGCTATACGGTAATAAATTAACACCAAGAATCACAATGTGTATGTATGACTTTTTAAACAATCAAAAGGACTAGTACAGTAACCAGAACTCAACAGTCTGATTGATCACAGACTTTAACCTATGATTAATTAACTAATATTGAATTACCCAGAAATTAAATGACCAGAAAGCCAGTAAAAAGCCATTAAAACTTTCTTCTGAATAATATTCAATTGTAAGAAAGCACTACTATGCGTCTATCACTTTTGTTAAGGCCTTATTCCTTTGAAGTCTATAACATGAATGTTCCATGTCAGTGACAAAGAAGACTAACCCTAGCATCCAGACCAGACAGTCCTGGCTTCTGCCCACTCCCATATGTATAACAGTGTACAGATTCAGATCCCAGGAACCACTGTACCTGGTCACTGGGATCACACCATGCATGCCTACTGAATGGGACATCATCTCCCCAGGTGGACTCAGGAAAGGAAATGCCCAAGATTTTTTCAAGAATGCTGAATATCAGGCTTTAAGGTAGTAACTCTAGACTTCAGAAAGACACTGTTATTCCTAACTACAGAAACAGTAATACGTGAATTTTTTTTCTTTTCCTTTTATACATGAATTTTTAACACAGATTACCCAGTGGGAGAACAAAGCCAATGTATTCTTTTTTCCCATCAATTTATGAAAATTTAGAGCACCTATTTGACTCCAGATTTGTACATTTAAGGAAAATGATATTAGGAGAGCCACACAGAACTCAGTTTCAGTTTCTCCACCAAAATCAGTACGATTCTCATGCTAGATTTTGGATACCTTCCAAAATTTAACATCAAAAATTTAAAACAGGCATTCCTGGTGATTCCTTGCACACCTCTATTTAATAACCAAATTTGCCAGTACTAAAGTCTAATGGATCACAGAGTTGAGTTAATCAGCACACCTGCAACCTCCCCATCTATACCCACTCTTACCAGCTTGCTTTCAATCACAGTGAAAGAGGGCCTGTTCAAGGTCAGTTAACCCTTCGCTCTGCATATCTGATCCCATCACTGACTGTCTGCCCAGGATCCTGGCTTGGTCAGTCATAACCTCTGTCCTACACACTGAGCCTACACTACCCCCAGTCATCATCCCTTCCCAGCTAAGTTCTTTGGAGAGCTTTAAACAGCCTCCCCATCTCAGTCTCATCCTCTGCAAATCTAGATCTTGTTACAATGGAGGCCACTCACCCACCCACATCAGGGATGGTAATGAACCACTTGCTGCTAAGTGGCAGGGACACTTGTCAGTCCTCTTGTCAGGAAGCCTTTCCTCCCAGATACCAGTCCAACTGATCCACCTGCCTCTGCCAACCTATTCAGAATCGATCATGACCAGTGTCCCACACCCCTTTTACTGCCTGCGTTTTCCAGATTACAACCTTACTCTTCTCTCTCTCTTATTCCAACTTCTCTCTCTATGTACTTTCACCCATTCTCAGGGCTTCATATACAAACAGTATAGTCCTCACTCCCAAATCTCCACCTCCACTCTTTATACCCAGGATTTCTATCTCAAACAGAACATATCCAAAACTGCTGTTATCAACCTACCACGTAGTAAGAGTGATAATAATAATTCTCAAGTTTTAGAGTACCACCATTCAATTTTAGAAATTCTCAAAATGCAGACAGGCATGGTGGTACGTGCCTATAATCCAAACACTCAGAAGGCTGAGGCAGGAGGATCACTATGAGCTCTAGAAAAGGTTGAGCTACAGTTTGGCCTGAACTACATAGCAAGAACCTGGCTCAAACAAACAAACAAAAAGAAAGAAAACAAAAGAGAGAGAAAAAGAATTAATTCTCAAAATGCAGATAACTGGCCCCTATCACCCCTTTTACCAACAGAGAATGCCATCTTATAAGATCTCCTACATCCGGTATAATCTTCATATATATATAAAACACTCCAGAATATTGGGAAATAATGATCAATGTTTTATCTATGTGCCACAAACACAAGCAGAAATGCTTTTATATATTGCCTGGGAAAACAGAGGGAGCCCAGTTGGCCACAAACTAGGGGTTGGGGAACTACCTCAAAATACTGGTAACCCACTGGTGTAAGGAGTGCTAACAGAAATAAATGAGCAACAGCACATTATTCAGATGATCAATAAGTACAGTTTCCAACCAAGATGCACTATGGAGAATTTGGGCAGCAGTGGGTTTGAAGGTGTCCTCTCTGGCAGGTATTTCTGCGGGACATCTTTTATGTGGCCAAACACTGTGGCACTCACAGCTATAAGAGCTGGGCAGAGACAGGTTGAATGATCCTTTAGGAACATTCCAAGGATGCCCTTTGAACAGAGGCTTGAGTGAGGTAGGGCCTGATTACCCTTCAGAAACAACTGACATGGTACAAAATGTCATTTAGGGTCTATAGCTTTTCTTTGCCAATATAATTTTCTCTTTTCACTTTTTCCCAGATCCTACTGTTTTAAATATAATAAAGAGAAACAGAATAAAGAAAAGTGTAAGAAGGGGCCAGGGATTTAGCTCAGCGGTTCTGCCATCTGCCTTGCAAGCTCAATGCCGAGTTCAATGCCCGGTACCAAAAAAAAAAAAAAATTAATCAAGAGAAGTGTAAGAGCACAATATTTACAACATTGAACAAAAGAAAAGGTATATGAAACTTCTGTTCTAAGAAGCCAATGATTATCTGGCTTACAAAATAAAAGTTCATGGGGCCAGGGATTTAGCTCAGCAGTTCAGTGACCTGCCTTGCAAGCGCAAGGACCCAAGTCCAATCCCTGGTACCAAAAAACAATAAAACAAAATAAAAGCTCATGTTTATAAATGATTTAAAACACATACAGTAAGCCCTTGATTTACAAACAAGTTCTGCTCCAAGAGAATTGTTCATAGATCAAATTTGTTTGTAAGCCAACAAAGTGAGTCTTATATACAGTAGTATATCTGTAAAAATTCGCAACTGAAATGTTCCTAAATTGAGGACTTCCTTTATGAATTTCATGTCAATGATGTATAACTAAACATTTTTAAAGACCATTTAAAACATACGAAGATGTAAAGAGGAATAAATTACATAAGAATAGGACAAGAAGTTGTTTCAGTATTATGACAATGTCAGCAATGATTTGACAAATGTCAGCCTGGGCTACACAGTGAGCTTGACACCAGCCTAGACTACGTGAAACCCTGACTCAGATGAATGAATGAATGTTGTAATTATGACAGTTTCATTATGTTCTATAAAGTACATATTTAATAGGATAAGTTGTTTTTATTTGCTATTTTCATTGTTTTGCTCCAAAATACATGGTCCTGAGGGTTGGAATATAGCTCAGTAATAGAGTACTTGCTTGAAAAAACAGAGGAAGATGCTCCCAGTTAGCCACAAACTAGGGATTGGGGGACAATATCTCAGCGTACCACTGGTGGTAACCCAGTAAGAAGCGCTAATAGAAATAAGTGAGGCCCTGGTTCAATCTGCAGCACTGAAAACAACAACAAAAAACACTGTACAGCCAGAGAAATTGCTTACCTTGCCCATTCTCACTATTGTCAACATCAGCCAAACACAAACAGCCTTGATCAAATTCTTCTTTTTCTCCCAGAATAGTAGACCACCAATCACGGGCTTTAAATAAAGACATTTTCCTTCACTCTGAAAAGAAAAAATTCATTCTTAAAAAAAATCTACTTTACATTATGAATTAATTACCTCAAAGCACAGAAAATTAAATTTGGATACTTTTGAGATTAATATTTCTATATTAACTTTAACATTTCTGTATCTTATACACATATATCAAATCATAAATCCAAATGGATAGAACATGAAGCAGAGATTTTTCAATACTATTGGTAAATTGGGCTAAAAAGTTATACATTTACATAGGGCTACTCCTATCTTCTGAGACATTCTGGAAAGAACTGCACAAAAAAATCTGAAAAATACTCTTTCAAGGACCAAGGTTTAAAATCTACCAGTACTACTGGCAAACAGTCATTAAGAAAATATCTAACTTCCTTGCAATCTGAACAGTAGCATTTTACGTTACAAGTAGCAGAAAAGATCCAATGAGATCAAGAGAATCAGATAACTAACATCGAAAATGGTAAAACACTGGTACTCAAAAAGCATTCACTCCTTCTTGTCATTTCAATTGAAAAAAGGCAAAAATAAAAAAAAAAAAGAAAAAAGGCAAAATGAAAAAGGGAAATTAACACAAAAAAAGAGCCAGAAACACTAGTTAGTGGTTCCATTTATAACAGTAACTACCAGTGTGTCAGAATGAACATAGACTAGCCCTACCCTATATTGAACTACTACTGTGAATGCATGTTGGACTGTTTCAATTATAGGACAGCATCAAACACCTTCAAATGCTATAAAAGTTCACTTTATTTTATTGTTTACTTTTATTAGTACATGTTTGTAGTATAATATTTATTGTGGCGAGTTGGTACATGTATATAACACATCTCAATTTTTCCACTTCCTCTCCAGCCTCCCTCTTTTTTCAAGCATCAGATTTATTTTTTTACAAGTCTTTATCAGGTTAATTATCTTACATACAGATTAATAGTCAGACTAAATAGGTCACAAACATAAAACATATATGATAATTACACTAAACCAAGGTATTACTTTTAAATAAATTGTCCATGCTGCATTACAATAACTTTCTGTTTCCTCTTGTTATTTTGCAATTTATTTATATATAGTTTTTTTTCTCATATAAGAGAAACCATGTGATATTTAAACTATGTGTCTGATTTAGTTCACTAACATTATGATATCAAGGTGCAACCCTTTTTGTATAAATGACTCAAATTTATCTTTCTCATGGTAAATATGTGTGAACTGGTTTCTTATTTAGTTAACTGTCTTGAATTATAAATAAGAAACTAGTAGCTGGGTGTGTTGGCCATACCCAGTCCTGTAAATCCCAACACTGAGGGAGGCTGAGGCAAGAGGATCCCAAGTTTGAGTCCCACCTGATCAAGTGATAACCTCTTTCAAAATAGAAAATAAAAAGAGCTGGAAAGGTATTTCAGTAGCAGAGCACAACTGACACCAATCCAATCCCAAATATCACACACAAAAAGACTTGCATTTATATTTTATACCCTATTCATTGAATGTTCAATGTTGATTTCCAGTTCCTCACTGATGTGTAAGGACATGAAAACTGAACATCAAAGATCAAGTGTTCAATGGCTACTATCTCCTTTCACGTGAAGGAAAATAATAGTTAATATTTACTGATCACTTACTAAACGCCGGGCTGTTTCTAAATGCTTATTTAAGTGTCCTAGTGTTAAGCTTCATAACAGCTACAAAGTGAATCATGAGTCCTATCATTCAGGTATCCCCAAATATAGAGAGGTCAAGAAACCATCCTGGAGATCTGAATCAATTAGCAGTGAGCATGGCGGCTAAACCCAGTGGCTCCTCCACAACTCTGGATAAAAGGCCCCCACTAGCAGACTTCAGACTGTTGTTACCTGGGGTTCAAACTGCTGAAGAGGAGCTAAAACATTTGATTACATTATTAGAGGATAACTAGAAAGCAATAATTAGAAGATGTTAACAAGTACATACACATAAATAGGCAAAAAGTTAGTTTCTGAGTCCTTAGAACAAAAACAGGAGATAATCTCTTTACCCCTTAGGGTAAAGATCCAGGCATTGTTTTCCTGTCACTTGACATCTCCGTATGTTCACTGCTGCTGCTGCTGCTGCTGCTGCTGTTGTTGTTGCTGTTGTAGTGGTAAAGTGGGTAGAAACCAGGGCCTGTGCCTGCCAGGCAAGTGCTCTACCACTCATTTACACCTCAGTGCTCCCACACACACTTTTAAGACAGCCAAAGTTCACCCAGGCTGGACTTGAACTTTAGATCCGCCTGCCTCAGCCTCCAGAGTAGCTGGGATTACAGGCCTGCACAACCACACTGGGTTTGTCTAGTTTTTAATACTTATTTACACACATTTTATCTTCCACACCAATACTCCTTAGATTTAAGTTTCCCCGCAGAGGTAGATTATTTTAATACCTCACTGAGCTAGTCTCACACTATGAAAGGACAATAGAAGATAACCCTAAAGAAAGCTGTGCGAGGAATGCAGGGGTCTAAAGACAGACTCTATAATTAGGAGGAAAAGACACAGACGCTGTCGTTCATAGTTGGAACTGGTGTCCTGGTGTCGTGTCAAATCTCAGGAAGCAGGAAGCAAGTCTTCCTTCCAGTCCAGGAAAGATAAAAAATGCAGACAGAGTTAGGAGGACAAGGACTCCGTGCTGGGGGGAGTCTTGATAACAGACATAAAAGACCAAAGTATGAAGAAGCCAAGCCAGAAGGCCCTGGATTCAAGCCTCAACCCCACCTTGTAGCTAAAGGACCTTAGATGATCCCTCATCCTCTGTCTCCCAACTATCTTGGCTGAGAGAGAATGAAATAGCCTAACACATGCAACTGCTTAACCAGTGCCCACCCAACCCGTAGCAAGTACTCGGTCAATGTCAGTTGAATGTCAGAGAGAAGCTAGCAACAGTAATGTAGCTGTGGTAGTGAGACTGCAGATTGAACCCAAGGCCTCTGAGCAAAACAAAATTACAGATGCCAATTTGGCTTCTGGACGACAAATTTAAATGAGACATCTAAAAGGCTGGCAGCAATAGCTATGTGTATGTGTGGTGCTGGGTATAGAACCAAGGGCTTGCACATGATAAGCATGGCTCTACCTCTGAAATACACCCCTGTCCTCTTTAATGAAAATGTTATTAATCAGCAGGGATGCTTTATTAATAACTTCATGTGTTCCAGTAATTTTCAAAAACTATCTGAGGACTGGGAGTAGAACTCAGGGGCAGAGCTTGTATACAAGTGTAGGAAAAGGCAGTCAGTAGGCAGGGAAAGAATACAATAAGAGCCTCATTACGC